GAGTTTAGGTTTTACTCTAAGAACAACAGAGAATCATTGAAAGTCTGTAAGCAAGAGAATACTGTAAACTAATTTATATTTTCAAAAGATCATTTTAGCTTCTGTGGCTAACAAACTGTGGTGGGAAAAGAGTGGTAACAGAGCAGTCAGCCTGCTGAGTCCAGGTGAGGACTGAGGGTGTATAGTGACCATCCACAGGCAGCTCAGGCATCACCTCCTGGCAGTGTTTTCCACACCCCCAGACTCTATGAAGACACCCTTCGTAATATTTAACCTTCACACTTTATCAGATACTTAACATATTATACTGAAATTTTATCTTCAAATATTTCTGGTTTTCCTATTAGAGTATAATATCCTAGGAGTAAAGATTTTTAACTCACCTTTAAAAGCCTACCACAGAGCAGGTGCCCAGTAAATGTCTGTCAAATTTAATGAATTGCCAAGCTTCTCAAAAAGGCAAAACACTCACGTATAGGGAACATGAATGATCCATTGGCCTTTCAGTATTTCCAAAATATGGAGGAAGGAAGGATGGAGGTGAAGGGTGACCCCATTTCTCACAGTGGGATGGAATGAGAGCATGTGAAGGAGGATCCAGTTGGGAAGTCCTGGGCTGAGGACAGATGGTAATAACAGCTTAGCATTTAGAGAGGAAACACCCTGTGGCGATTAAAGTGGAGCTAGTGACCCTTGGCTCTCTCCCATTTGTTTTGCCTGTTCCCCACCCACTGGGCCCCCCAGTGGCATGGTAGATGTTGGTATGTATCCACATTGTCATAGCAGTCTGGGAGGCTGCCAGCCTCTGTCTCAGAGCTGAAAATAATCAGCAGCAAGAAAATAATAATTCAATAACACTCCTTTGAATATTGAAAGTAAAAACCACATTACGTGCCTTCAAGCAGGGAAGATGGACTGTACTTATGTAATAAGTGAAAACAGTGCCAAGGGACAATACTAAGTAATAGGTGCCCCATTACATTCAGGGTTTTCCCTGCTGTTGCCAGGAAACTGCTTTTGATGGCTCGTGGTTCCACACTCTTAGCAGAGGCAAGTGACCGCCACTGTCCTCTGTTCCCTTTTCTCTCCAGAGTTCTTTAGCAGTCACTGAGAAACAAGGAATCGAGCAACTACGCATGAATCTGGGTGTGAATTACAGAGCTCCTCTTCCTCTTCTTCCCCCCACCCCAACCCAAGTATTGAGAGCATCTTCGGTGTGGGAAATGCATTGTGATACACAGTTCCTATCAGTGGCACTCATGTAACCCTTTCCATTGGCTTTCCTTCAGAAAACCTATAAAACAGAACAAGTTGGAAGCAGTCACAAAATGCAGATTAAATCCTTAGAAATAGTTCACCATTTCCTTTTATTCCCTGTGAATTGGCATGTTTTTGTTTGAAATGATACATATGTGTATCTTTCACTATGTGACTCTAAAGAAAGAGAAAGGAAAAGTATTTCACACTTTCTTCTTTGGGGTTCTTTATCTTAGGAACTGAAAGATGACTTGAAGGGTGATCTCTCTGGCCACTTTAAGGAACTCATGGTGGCCCTTGTGACTCCTCCAGCCATGTTTGATGCGAAGCAGCTGAAGAAATCCATGAAGGTATGAGCCCAGTCTGAGCCATTTCCACCTGAGATTTGACTATGTCATCAAGAGTAGTGACTTTCTTCCAGTGCACACTTGAGACATGGGTGTAAAAAGGACAGATTGGATGTCATTTTGATGCTATACTATCCGAGTGGTAGAACAATACTGAAATGGGGAATGGTTGTGGAACCTTGAGCCCACATGTTCCTGGGCTGAAAGGATATTGTCATATCCTAATTCTGTTTCCATGGTTTTTGACCCAAAGAGTCAAATTCTCTACTTTGTTGTCATTGAGAGTAAATGGCACCATCATCAACCCCATTGCTTAGGTCAGAAACCCAAAAGAATCTTTGGTCCCTTGCTTTCCCTCACTCTTCAAAGCTCCCAAATCTGTCTGCAAGTCCATCTATCAGAAATGTGTGCAGGGCACCTGGGTGGCTCAGTTGGTTAAGCGTCCAACTCTTGGTTTCAGCTCAGGTCATGATCTCATGATTCATGAGTTTGAGCCCCATGTCGGGTCCTGCCCTGACAGTGAAGAGCCTGCTTGGGATTCTCTCTCCTTCTCTCTCTGCCCCACCCTAGCTCACATGCTTGCTCACGTGCTTGCATGCACGTGCACACTCTCACTCTCTCAAAATGAAAGAAAGAAAGAAAGAAAGAAAGAAAGAAAGAAAGAAAGAAAGAAAGAAAGAAAGAAAGAAAGAAAGAAATGTGTGCATGTCTCTCAGGATTCATTGCTACCATTCTACTTCAACCACCACCATCTCTTGACTGGACCATATCAGTAGCTTTCTAGTTGGTCCTTTTGCCTCTATTTTTGCCCACTTGAAATCCATTCACCACAGAATAGCCAAAATTATTTTTATAAAGTCATTTTTGGAATCATATTATACTATTCACCTGCATAAATCTCCAATGGCTTTGAATACTTAAAATCCAAACTTCTTACCATGACCTTCATCACCCATCACAGTCTGGCTCCTATCTCTTGACTTCTTAAAAATTCTATCTGTGCTGGTCAGGGTTTCCCAGAGAAGCAGAAGCAGTAGGCAGGAGATATATATTACTAGATTTATTGCAAGGAATTGGTTACATAATCATGGAACTGGCTGGGCAGATCCAAAATCTGTAGGGCAGGCTGGAACTCTAAGCACAAGCTGGAGCTGTTGCCCGCAGATGGAATTTCTTCTTCTTCAGAGAAGCCTCAGCTCTGCTCTGAAAGCCTTTCAACTAAGTTGGATCCACCTGAAATATCTAAGATGATCTCCTTTACTTAAAGACACTCAATAATGGACTTTAGTTATGTCTACAGAACACCTTCACAGCAAACCTAGATTTGTGTTTGATTGAGTTAACTGAGGACTGTAGCCTGGCCAAGTTTATAAAGTTCCATAAAACTGCCCATCACATCCTCTCCTCCCTCTCCCCCGATTCAGTACTATAGCTACACCGGCCTTCTCTCTGCTGCTTGAACATTCTAAGCTTATTCCTACCTTGAGGTCTTTATACATGATGTTCTTGGCATCTGGAATGTTTCCCTCCACATATTTTCTATCAATTCACTCAGTTTAATTTTCTTAATTGCACGTAATACCATCTAAAATTATGTCGTTTATTTTTTGCTATTTGTTTATTGTTTTTTTTTTCCATCCAATTAAAAGGTATATCTCCATCATAACAGGTAACCTCATCAGTTTTGGTCTGCATCTTCTGAAATGAAGTAGGTGCTCAATGCATTTGTTGAGAGGAAGGAAGGAGTCTATATCTGAGGCATAAGCTGTATTCTGCCTCCTTATCAGAGATAGGAGATATTTTTCTTTTCTGTGGAAGACGTATAGGCACCCAAGAAGCAGATGCCAAGATGTGATGAGACACACAAGAGATTTCCTGGGGAAAATCTTTTTTTTTTTTTTTTTTTTTTTTTTTTTTTTTTTTTTTTTTTTTTTTTTAATGCTTATTCATTTTTTGAGAGACAGAGAGAGACAGAGCATGAGTGGGTCAGGGGCAGAGAGAAATGGAAACACAGAATCTGAAGCAGGCTCCAGGCTCTGAGCTGCCAGCACAGAGCCCGATGCAAGGCTTGAATTCATGAACTGCAGGATCATGACTGAGCCGAAGTTGGCCACTTAACTGATTGAGCCACCCAGCACCCCCCTCCCTGGGGGAGATCTTATGAGGGATAAAGAAGTGTCAGAGCAGGGTAAGTTGGGTGAAGCTTCAGATGGCAATACAGGGCTTACACACATGACAGAGGGACAGAAGTAGGCTCAGATAGGAGGAGCCTCCGTGCACAGGGCAGCTCAAAGAAAACCATGGCAGGCCGATGGGGAGCTCCAAAGCAAAGGACTGCCCTTTGGAGAAGTCCTACACCGGGCAGAAATGGCCCAGCTCCAGTACCCCTTCCATGTTCAGTCACTTGCTGAGACAGCTTGGAGGGAGAATAGCCTTTTTGTGAACCACGTGGCAGATCCAGAGCTATGGCAGTTGAAGGCTATCAACCAACTATGTTCTTTGCTGCAGATTCTCTTAAAATGAAGTCTGAGTGGTGCATTTCTATGGCTGCCACATGGGGGGCAGTTTAACAGGTACAATAATAAGGATTAGATTCACCAATAAAGATTTAAAAAATTTCTCTCTTATGCAAAAGAAATCCAAAGTAAGCAGTCCAGAGCTGATAGTGTCATGACACTAGCATTATCAGGCACTCAGGCTCCTTCTATCTTTAGGTTTGTCCGTCTTCAGCCTGTAGATTCCACTTTTTGGCTAAAGATGGCAACTCAAGATCCAGGCAATATGTCTTTACCCCAGTCAGCTAAAAAGAATAAGAGACAAAGAAGGGTTCATTCCCTCTCTTTAAGGATTCTCACAAATCGTATGTGGTATTTACATATATTCTATCGCTCATAATTTAGTCATATGAACAAACCTAGCTCTAAGGGAGGCTAGAGAGTAATATAGTATCTATTTGGATAGCTATGTGCTAAGTTATAAATTAAGGGTTTTATTATAAGCAAAGAGGGTAAAAGAGATGGGGTCCATTCAGTTTTGCTGTGAACCTAAAACTGATCTAAAAAATAGTCTGTTTTTAAATTAATTAATTAATTAGTTAATTAAAACAGAGAGATGTTGAGAGCAACTAGGAATCTGTGCCACAGAGGGACAGAATTCAGCCTCTTTTCATAAGCTGCATCAACATTATTTGATCAAGTTGCTAGTATAAATGGCTTTTCATAGAGTCACAGTGTGATTCAGTGACCTCAGTATAAATCAAGGCTCAGGGTAACTAGTCCCCAAGTCAACTAGGCCCATGACACACATTACTGAGCCTTTAAAAATCTCCCTGTATGAAGATGATACCTGCTGACCATCTAATGCAATGGTAGAAGGATGAACCCATTCAAAAGAATTGCAGAGCCCTTAATAAACATAATGGTGTGTTCAAATGCTCACTTCTGATCTTGAATGGCATAGGCTTTTCCCTTTGTGCTATTTCTTTCTGCAATTACTCAATTTATTCTTTACACTAGAGTAGGACATTTTCTTGAAAATGTGGGTGTCAGTTTAGATGATTTGTGTTATTTTTGTACTAAAGTATGTGGAAAAATTAGAAAACTATAGCAATATGCAACCTTATGTGGATTTACTAAAACTTCTTTTCATCTGTATAAAACAAGATATCAAGCCTGAAATGCATGAAATTAAGTGTTTTAAGTATTCTAAAAATAGATTTCTTTTTTCTTTTTAGGGTGTCGGAACAAGCGAACATGCATTGATTGAAATCCTCACCACCAGAACAAGCAGGCAGATGAAGGAGATCTCCCAAGCCTACTATACAGGTAGTCTTATTTTCTGCTTACTTTTCCCACTGTCCACACACATATGAGCCAATGTTGCTTTTCCCAGACACCCACCACGCTCTTCTTCGCAAGGCATTTGGGGAAGGCAAGACATAAAAAGGAGGATACATTCTAAAATGGGCTAAATGTGGATTTTCAGAGAAATTTTGAATATGACCCAAGCTAGAAACTGCTGCATAACAATGGCATTGACATTTCTCATTTATAACATTACAGCTATAGAGGATTTTGCCCTTGGCAATCACTATTTATTGAACCAACTATTTTCATCAATGTAAGATTTCATCAAATCATGGTATATTAATATTATATATTAAAAACCGCTCAGATTAGCCTCATGATTTTTGGTGTGGAAAATGAGACGAACCATTTAGAGAATGTGTTGAGCATGTGGATTCAGTATAATTAGCTCAAGTCCTAATAGTCTGTCAGCTGTGACACAGACTACCGAGGGTTAATTCTGACAGACTACCAAGGGTTAGCATGACTACACAAGTTAAAGCACAGCCCCCACAGGACTACCCTCACTTCAGACACCAGCCACAAGCTCAGTGCTCCCAGGCCACGTGCCCTTCTGACCAAACGGCTACACATTTAGGGGTTCTCACTACTTCCTCGGGTTCAATAGCTCACTAAAATGACTCACAGAATTTAAGAAAGCATTATACAGTCAACCCCTGAACAACGTGAGGGTTAGGGGCACCGACCCCCAGCACAGTTCAAAATCCATGTATGACTTTTGACTCCCTCAAAACCTAACTGCTAATAGCCTGCTGTTGACCAGAAGCCTTACTGGTAACATAAACAGTCAATTAACACATACTTTGTATGTTATATGTATTAGATACTGTGTTCTTATAATAAAGTAAGCTGGAGTTAAGAAAATGGTTTTAAGAAAATCACAAGGAGGGGCATTTGGGAAGCTCAGGAGGTTGAGTGTCCGAATTTGGCTCAGGTCATGATCTCATGGTTCGTGAATTTGAGCCCCACCTTGGGCTTACTGCTGTCAGTGCAGAGCCCGCTTCAGATCCTCTGTCCCCCTCTATCTCTGCCCCTCCCCTGCTCACGTTTTCTCTCTCGCTCTCAAAAATGAATAAACATTGAAACAAACAAAAAAGGGAAATCGTAAGGAAGAAAAAATACATTTACAAAATTGTACTGCATTTGTTGAAAACACCCACATATAGGTAGACTGTGCAGCTCACACCCATGTTGTTCACGGGTCAGTTGTATTTACAATTATAATTCTACTTGAAAGAGTAGAAATGAGGACCAGCCAAGTGAAGACATTCAGAGGAGACTTCTGAGAGGGTCCCAAACACAAAGCTTCCGTGTTCTCTGGATGTATCTCCTTCCCGGCACATCGATATGTAATTACCAACCAGGGAAACTCCTTGGATCTTTGGTATCCAGCTTTTATTAAGGATTCATTACATAGGCATGACTGGTTGCATAACTGGCCACACGACTGATCTCCATCTCCAGTCCCCCTCCTTTCACTGCAGGTCAGGCTGACATGTGGCTCAAAGCCCCAACCCTTCTAAATCACATGGTTGGTCTTTCTGGTGGGACCAGCCCCTACCCTGAGTTGTGTCGTTAGCATAAATTCAGCTGTGGTTCGTGGGCACCTGCCACGAATAACAGACATTCCTATTATTTGGGAAATTCCAAGGATTTAAAAGTTACCAGCTAGGAACCGGAACAAAGACCAGCCCAAATTCTGTATTATACAACAGCCCCCTGTAGCCCCCTCCAAGTACCCCAAGGGAGCCACAGTTTCTATGTTTCTGTATCAGAGAGGTTCTGCAGTAGAAGTCCAGAGAAGGCATATACTGGCTCTTAGATGGGTGTCAGATAGGTCACTTTGAGAAATTCTCATTAGAACGTAAATACCTTCACTTAGCTTAATGATAGGTAAGTGACTGTTTTATTCATGTGCTGATAAGGGCTCCATTCAAACGGAATCAGCATTAGGCATTTTAACAGAATTTAACATAGAGAATTGTTTAAACACTTTTTTTGGAGGACTGAAAAAGCTAAAAGGGAACACAGGGAAGACACAGAGGTATAAACAAACCCCAGGGCTGGAACAACAAGGGAAAGAAGTTGGAGTTTTCAGGAACTAGAAGCTCAGGGGAGGGGTATCACCTGGCCAATGTTGGTGCCTCAGGGGCTCAGTGGAGAGATTTAAGGAACCAGAGTTCCCATCTCTGCAAAAGGGCTGCATCTGGCTGGAGCTGGCACCCTCCATGCTAAGTGACTTTTTCTAGGCGCCTGGAGCCAACTGCTGCTGCCAGGATTAAAGACCTTCACTGGTTTGCACTGACATGAGTAGCAAACAACTAACCTGTTCTGCTCTCCCCTGCCTTCCAGTCTCCCTCTACCCGCCCCCTTCCCCAGTGGTGGACCTAACAGGGAGTTGGGGCAGGGGAGAGGGGTACACAAGAGAAGTATAATTTGCAGTGTCCCAATCCCAGCTCCACAAAGTAAGGCATAGAAGGTTGAATTTGGAGTAGATGAGATAATTGCTTAATAATAGCCACAAACAGGTGCATTGTAGGTGTTTAAAATATTTGGTTCTCTGAGTTCAATGAGATTTGCATATAAATCAGAGCCAGAGACTGTATCCCAAGGTGACTTGTCACTTCTGGGTATTTCTTAGAAGAGTTACTACTCCATGAGTTGACTTGCCACTTGATGGATTTCTGGGGTCCAGCGTCTATGTACAAACAACCCTAAGACGTAAGCTCTATGAGGGCAGGAACTTTGTCTGGTTTTGTTCACTGCTGTAGCTCCAGTGACCAGAACAATGGGGAATAAATTCAAATATGCATTGAATGAATATCCTCAAGATTGAGATTGTCGTCTTAAGAGCCAAGTGAAAGTTCTAGCTTTTAGGATTGTTGTTTTGCAGGTATGAACTGTGGTAGTAGTTCAAAGTTATCAGAGGCCCCTATATCTCTGTGAGATAAGCTCTCTAAGGCTATAAGGAATGGGACAGCATTTAGGTTACCTTGATTAATAGGGATTCATGATACATAAGAAGTAAAAGAAGAAAACAGTCTTAATCATGTGTAGCTAAGCTTTACGGAGATGAGATTCAGGACACAGCATTAACCTGGAGACTCAGCCCTCTTGTCCCTTCCTCAATATCAGGCATTCATTGCTCCCTGTGCTAATGTTTCTGGTACAGTAACTCTTTTCCCTTTCTGCTTCTACTGTTCTCGAGAGCACCAAGTAACTTCTCTCCCCTTACCACATGGTGTTTGTCTACGTAGGCTTTTATTTCCTGCATGGTTTATGGTTTTTCTTGACTTCTGTTTTGTGCCTTATTCCTTAGGGTCTTTCCACTTCTCTGTTGTTGTACTGTCTTTGACTCTTTTTCTGTATAGCTCACTCCCTAAGAGAAGATTCAGTGGGCTAAAAGGAGAGCTGAGAATGTAGTCTTTAAGTTGTGTGAATTATGTCCTGTTCAAGGTCCATGTTCTAGTACTGAAGAAGAAGGAAATAGTAATTGGAGGGCAAACTAGCAGCTTGCCCACACTAGCTTTTCCATTATCCATATTTTAATGCCACTGTCAGATAAAATGGACCATGATTTGACCCAAAAAGGCAATTCTTTCTGTTCTTACACATCTGCCACCACACACAACATGGTAATAGTTATGAGAAGAACGTGTCCGTATCAGAAGAGAACCAGCAAGATGAAAAGAAAGAGGTAAGATTTATTTTATCAGGTACTGACTCCTTGCCAAGGTTGACATTTAAGCTTTTCTCTGTTTTGTAATAATGTTTTTCAGTTTGTCAAGGCTTAATTTATTCTTATTTGGTTTCAGTATATAAGAAGAGTCTTGGAGATGACATCAGTTCAGAAACATCTGGAGATTTCCGGAAAGCTCTATTGACTTTGGCAGATGTAAGTTTTTATTTTTTCTTAACTGCCCAATAAGCTGCATGCTTAATGATAATTTCTAGGGAGTTTAAAAATAACCAAACTAAGACAATGAGATTGCAATTCTCCTTATGAAATAATACATTCGTTTTACATTTTCATTTCTGGACTCCAAAGAATATTTATTTCTTTTGTTGGTATTTAAATTAAGTAGGAAGCATGTTACAGAAATATTTTCTTCAGAAATGGGTATATGAGCCTCTGGATTAAAAACAAACAAACAAAAAGACTTGCAATGGGTTGCCTGGGTGGCTCAGTTGGTGAAGCCTCCAACTTTGGCTCAGGTCATGATCTCACAGTTTGTGGGTTTGAGCCCCACGTTGGGCTCTGTGCTGACAGCTCAGAGCCTGGAACCCGCTTTGGATTCTGTGTATCCTTCTCTCTCTCTGCCCCTCCCCCACTTGTGCTCTGTCTCTCTCTCTCTATCAAAAATAAATTTTAAAAAATTAAAGATTTTTTTTAAAGTCTTTAAAAAAGACTTGTGAAAACAAACACAAAAACACGATTGCTGCAACTTTATGTTTGCTGCCTTTGGAAGAGTTGCTAAACCATTCGTCAGTGTGTGACCAAATGAGGCCACATCTAGCTCTCTCTTCTTAGGAGGCTCATGACTTCATAATAAAGGTGGTAAGGTCAAGGGTGAGATATAACCACATATGTGTACATGAAAGGAGGTAATTTAAGCCATATCTCACTGGCCCCTTTCAGCTGATTTACACAGCTCTTTACATGTGACGAAGTCCCAACGCTGGTCTCAGCCTGCGGGTAGAAATAGTACTTGTCGAAGTGAGGCATTATGCCACAAGAAAACAGTTTATCCTAATTATAGTTTCAGTTACTTCCAATGGTGAAAACCTTAAAGGTCGACCCGACAAAGCCAAACTGATGAGGCATTGATGCAAACATGCACTCGCACAGGTTTGTGTGCAAGAGCGCACACGCATTTGTGCACGCACAGGAGCACACAACCTCCACAGGAGGCAATTGCAGAGTAGGACTTCAGGCCAGGTGTTTAGACTCAAACTGCCCTGGACTCTCACGCTCCTTGGCTGCCTAGTAGCTTTATTTAGACAAGTTACTTTAAGCCTTAAAACTTCTGTTTTCACATCTGTAAAACTAAAATAACAAGAGTACCAACCTCGGGGGCTGTTGTGAAGATAAAAAGAGAGAGCGCCTGTGTGTAAAGTACATAGCACCTAAAAAGTGATCGAGACGTGGTGGCGGTGGCTTATTAGCAGTAGTACCATTGATAGTCAGCATTTTTTTTTTAAGTTTATTTATTTATTTTGAGAGAGCAAGAAAGAGAGCAGAGGAGGGGCAGAGAGAGAGAATCCCAAGCAGGCTCTGCACTGTCAGCGCAGAGCCTGATGCAGGGCTTGAACTCACGAGCTGAGATCATGATCTGAGCCGAAGTCAAGAGTCACAAACTCAACCAGATGCCCCGATAGTCAGCATTTTTTTTTTTTCCTGGAGCAGAGTGCGCAATGAAACGGAATAAAAAGGCAAACTAACAGCGGAGTGGCAGCAGCACTGAAAAGGAAAATGAAAGAAACCACGTGGAAATCAGACAAACACACAAGGACCTAATGTCTGCAAATGGCAATAAATGTGCTTTAAAAATATTACGGCCAAACATGCCATTCACCTACAATTCTCAAAATAATTCCGGCAATCCTCTTTCCTATCTCCCCTCTTTCTGTAGTGTGCTGAGTTTCTGTGCACAAGCACACATGCACTTAGCCACAGAGCCCTCAGTGTTAGAGTTCAAGGGTTTTGTCTTTTTAATAGACTTTATTTTCCAGAGAAATGTTAGACTTCCAGAAAAATGGAGCAGAAAGTACAGAGTTCCCTTATGCCCCTCACAGTTTCTCCTGCTATTAATATCTTGCATGGTGTAGTATAATTGTCATTGAATACTGCTACATTATTATTATTATTGTTATTATTAACTAGAGTCCATAGTGGACATTAAGATTCACTCATGGGTTTGGACAAATGGATGATGCCATGTATCCACCGTTACAGTATCACACAGAATAGTTTTACTGCCCTAAAATTCCTACACTCCAGCTCTTCATCCTTCTCCTCCTCCCTTCAAAACCCTGGCTAACACTGGTCTTTTTACTGTCTCTATTGTTTTGCCTTTTCCAGCATGACATATGATGGGAACCAAACAGTATGTTGTCTCTTCAGACTGACTTCTTACATTTAGTAATATGCTAAGTGTCTTTCATGGCTTGATAAGTCTTTTCCTTTTTATCGCCGAATACTGTTCCATTGTGTGGATATGTGACAGTTTGTTTCACCCGTTGAAGGGCATCTTGGTTTCTTCCAAGTTTGGGCAATTAGGTATAGAAACTTCTGCAAACATCCATGTACAGGTTTTTGTGTGGACTTCAATTTGGTCAGTGTCAAGGAGCACAGTGGCTGGATTATGGTTAAAGTGTGATTGGTTTTGTGAGACATGTCCAGACTGTCAAAGTGGCTGTATCGATTTGCATTCCCACAAGCAAGGAATGACAGTTCCTGTTGTTCCAAATCCTTTGGTGTTGTCAGTGTTTTGGATTTTAGCCATTTTCTAATAGGTATGTAGTGGTATCTCATTTATTTTTTTATTTTCTATTCCCTAATGGCCTATGATATTGAGCATCTTTTCATGTGCTTTCTTGCCAACTGTATATCTGATATCTGGGCAGATCTCTTGCCCATTTTAAAAGTAGGTTTTCATTATTTTATGTGAGTGTCTAGAGCTCTTTATGTTTTCTGGATGTAAGTTCTGTACTAGATGTGTGTTTGTAAGTATTTTTCCCGGTCTGTGGCTTGTGTTTTCATTCCCTTAAGATCTTTGAGTTTTCAGAAGAGGAAAATGAGGCTCAGAAAATTGTGTGATTTGCTACAAATATCATGGCTGATGAGTAGCAGAGCCACAACGGGAGCCCCGAGTGCCTGATTCCTCTGTGTTTCCTGGCCTCTGCTGGAGAAAAAAAATCTCTAAAACATCCTGTTGGTTGGAATACTGAGTCCTAGAGTCTTCTTTATTTAAGAGGATTGCCTTTGTTTGCATCTTCCCTGTTTAGGGCAGAAGAGATGAAAGTCTAAAAGTGGATGAGCAGCTGGCCAAAAAGGATGCCCAGGTCAGTAATAGAGCAAAGAAAACATCTCCTGTAACCTTTGTTCCCCCTTGACTGCCTTTTCATTCATTTGGCGTCACTGGCTGTCCTCTCCTGTCGTCTCTGAAGGAGAAGCCTGAAGGCTGGGCATCACCCACCCTAGCCCTCTACCTTCCCCAGTGGTGGGTATTATTCTTCTGGCTCCAGCCACCCTCTTAGATTCCTAGTTTGCTAACAGTGGAACGGTGAGAGACTTGGAAAAGAGATTATCTCCCTGAATTCTACAACCAAGGACCTCCTCTTGTCATTCCATACCCTCTGAGGAGGAGGAGGAGGAGGGAGGGAGGGGGGGAGAGAGAGAGAGAGAGAGAGAGAGAGAGAGAGAGAGAGAGAGATTGTGTCCATAATAACATTCTAGGTCTTCCTTTTTATCCAATAGATTCTCTATAATGCTGGGGAGAACAGATGGGGTACAGATGAAGATAAATTCACCGAGATCCTGTGTTTAAGGAGTTTTCCTCAACTGAAACTGAGTATGCACTCACATTACAATCCTTTTTGCTTTGTGTTGTATTTGCAAATGTTTTTTGGCTTACTATACAAAATTATGTAAAATGAAGTTAAAAATAGCAAAGTCTATTCCATTTGCATGTATAAACACTTCAGGAAAAAAAAAACATGGGGGAGCTGTGTTCCAACTCAAGACACAACTGACACTGCTCTTGTCTTCCCCTCCAGGTTGAGTACATCACCTAGTGAGTGACAGGTAACAGATGGGAGAAGATGGCAAGGAGAAAGAAAGGGGGAGCCCTCTGGGGTGAGAGGAGAGAGGAGTATTCTAGTGGTGTTCAGGAAGCTGAGGCAATGCTTCCAACACAATTAGCCACTTCCCTAGTTAGCCACTTTCCAGAAAAACCAGGCATTGTGGGTGAGGGTATCTTAATGCATTAATGAGAATGAATATTCAGCTCTTTCTGATATAAAGCAAATTGGGGAAAGGGGAGCATAGTTTTTTTGCTTAGACCAACTATTACATGGAACTGCTAAGCACCCACCTCCTCCTTCATGTATCTCCCTGAACCACCTGGAAGCAACAGCACCCAGAAGCCCAGAACTCCATTCGCTGTGAATAGCTGAGTGTGGCTCCCAGGTGTCGGTCAATAGAGCAACCGCAGCACATGACTAGGCTTATGCTGAGTTCATGGAAAAATGAGGAAGCATAAGGATATTATCGTGACTTTTTAATTCTGAAATTGCCCTTCCTTAATTTGGGCATTAAAATTTCACTTATTTTATAAAATAATGGTAATAGTATATTATAGTTCCTTTATTAATATCTTTATTTGAAACATAAAAACCAAACAATCCGAGATTTCTCTCCAAAATTTTTTTTTTCAAAATTTACTTGGCTTACAAAGTATGCCTACATACTTAGGGACATATGTGTGGGTTTTGCTTTGGGGCAAAAACGGATCGAGAAATCTGAATGCCTTCTGGTAAGTGTGAGTAGGCCATGCTGCCTTTGGGGATGATTTACTCAGCAGAAAGAAATCTTCATAATTAAGATTTCATTAGCAGATAAAACATATTTGACTAATGACCACACTGTTGTTCCCAGGTGCTGCTATAATTTAAAAGTAGACCATTGCCCTAGATAAATCATTTTTCATTTAACCTTTCAGGTGATTTTATATTCCATCAGCCTGGGAAGGGGGAGGAGAGAAGACAGAATGAGATCATTGAAGAAAATGGCCAATGAAGTTTAGGTTTTATTGCAGATGATTCTTTTTTAATTTTTTTGTTAACATTTATTTATTTATTTTTTTAACGTTTATTTATTTTTGAGACAGAGAGAGACACAGCATGAACGGGGGAGGGTCAGAGAGAGAGGGAGACACAGAATCTGAAACAGGCTCCAGGCTCTGAGCGGTCAGCACAGAGCCCGACGCGGGGCTCAAACTCACGGACTGTGAGATCATGACCTGAGCCGAAGTCGGCCGCTTAACCGACTGAGCCACCCAGGCGCCCCAACATTTATTTATTTTTGAGAGACAGAGAGAGACAGAACACGAGTGGGGAGGGGCGGGGGGAGGGGGTGGACACAGAATTTGAAGCAGGCTCTAGGCTCTGAGCTGTCAGTACAGAGCCCGACATGAGGCTAGAACTCATGGACCGTGAGATCATGACCTGAGCTGAAGCGGGACGTTTAACCGACTGAGCCACCCAGGTGCCCCAACTGCAGATGATTTTTTTTAAAAGAAACAACAAAAACTTCCATGTTCAAGTTTTGATGGTTTGAAGGAGTTTTTGAGTTTGACATTTAACAACTTGATTTGCTGCATATCAAATTAAAAAAACAGAATATATTCGAGTGTGGTCAACTGGGATGCTTTAAATATTTTTATGGTGTTGCTTTCTAGCATTTGATGAATATAGAAATATTAGCCAGAAGGACATTGAGGACAGCATAAAAGGAGAATTATCTGGGCATTTTGAAGACTTACTGCTGGCCATAGGTAAGCCCTTGCGTGTTTGGAAACTGAGTTACTTTGCACTTGTTTTAAATTGATGTGAAGATTAGCTCCTTTCCTGTAGGAATCCTGAGTGATGCATCTTTATGCTCCCATATCCCCTAGCACAGTCCATGGTACACACGATATGCTCAACAAATATTGTTAAATGGATGCATGAAGCAGTTATCTTTTTAGGTTTTACTTTATCTTTTAATTTTGTATTGGTTTGTCACCACGCTTGGGTTGTAAACTCCCTGAAAGATGAAAATATTACATTTATATTGCCATTTTTATTGGGGCTTGTTGAAAGACTGAGCAACTAAGCCAATTTAGTGATTCATCATATTTGGTTATTTTTGGAAGATACCAGTGGCTTCCCAAAACTGAGCCCCGGTCAGAGCTATAGGTCTTCTCCCTCTTGGCCATGCCAACCAGGAGTGTAGAACAGAAGGTCAGTCACAGACCAAATCTGTTCCTAGAGACATGTGAATTAAGGAGCAGACGCAAAACACTGTTACATAAGTGGATGGGTCTTCTCAATGAGGTCTCTGCCTCGTTGTTATTTATCAGCAGTTAAAGATGCTAGAAGCAGAGCAAAGGTACACCCTAGGGAGTTAGCGGTGTAAGCGTAGGTGTTGCTGTGTCTAGGAGTTGGAGATGAGTCGGCTGCTGTGGGAGTTTCTCTGGCAGGTAATTTTATTTTCCTCATGACTAAAGGTAATTACTGTGCTAACGTTCTGTGCAAATATGACGTGATAAGCCTTTGAAATTCAGGTGAAGCATTCCCCTCTTCATTCTCAATAAAAGCCAGTGGTGATGAGGGGGTAGAGTGGTATGGTTACTCAAAGAATCTTTTTAAAAAATATATTACCATAGATTAACTCAATTTCCATTAAATGAAACTGAACATTACTTTGCTTTTTATAACAGTCCGTTGTGCCAGAAGCATGCCTGCCTTTTTAGCTGAAAGACTGCATCAAGCTTTAAAGGTTCGTCTGGAAATTTCATTTACATTCTTATTCTCCCTCAAGAAGAATATGAAAAGTATTGCATAATATTGATGGAATTTCATGTTTCTTTTCTCCTTTGATGAGTTCTCTTTTGTAACTAAATTGTCTACTAATTTGTCTCATAGGTAGATAGAGAGTATCCTAATCATTATAGAGACAGGTACAGTGACGTGTTGACTAAATCGTTTCCTCCACTTCACAGTATACGCAGGCAGTAAAAGTTGTTTCAGAACACCAAGCCTCAAGCCTGACCCATTTGATCCAGTGGCCTCTCAAACTGCCTTTCTTAGACTAAACCAAGCTGAGTCAGTAGCCTTTCGTGCCATAGAAACCCTGGGTTTCCTTGTCTATTTACCGCTGATAGATAGTGAAGTCTCTGAGTACAGGCGTTTTTCTTGCTCTTTTCTATCTTCAGACCTTTGCACTGAGCCTGGAACTTTAGAAGATGCTTACTTCAGGGTCTTCACTGGAAATTTCCTATAAAGGTCCACATGTGCCTTCAAAGTTATGTTCAGAGTGAACACGCCAAGTCCCTCACCTCACCCCCCACCCAAAGGTGCTTCCTGTCCTGTGTTCAGTCACCTCAGTGGATAGCCCCAACAGGAACTAACCTTGCCCTACTTTCTGAAGTTATACCATTCACCCCATCTTTGTCCCCCATGCCTCAGCCACCTTGGCCTTCTTTCTGTCCTTGACTATGCCAAATGTCTTCCCCCATCAGAGTCTTTGAGTTTGTCGCCCTCTCTCCCTGGAATGTACCTTCTCCAGATCTACCTCTGGCTGGCTCCTTCTCACCTTTCAGGTCACCTCCTGAGAGAGATCTTTCCTGACTAAACAGGTCAGTTTGCTTCCTTTCAGTCACACTCCATTAGGTAATTCTTACTACTATTTACATAAACATGTTAATTTTCTTTACTGTCCATCTCCATCCATTAGAATGTAAACTCCATGCAAATAGAGATATAATCTGTGCTGTTCACTACCATATGCACAGTACATGGAGCAACATCTGATATATAGTAGATGTTCAGTAACTGTTTGTTGAATGAATGAAGAAATGAATAGTGTCAATATCCACCTAACTGCTCAGCAAGAAATTTTACACTTTTCTCCCTCCTTCATTTTCCCCAAATGATACATCCCTAAATTTTGTCAATCTACCCTTGTAAGCACCCCTTAAATCTACACATTTTCTCCATTCCTACCACCATTATTCTAGGTCAGGCCATCATGAGCTCTCTTCTTGTTACACAGTCACCCCTGGATGGGTCCCAAAGCTTGTAGTCACATTCTGTTCTCTGTATCCCACTCTTGCCCTGCAATCCCATCTGCATGCTGCTGTCAAAGGGATTTCCTGAAACACAAATCTGATCTGCTCTCAACACTGTCATGTTCAACAGATTGCAGTTGTTCTCCACATTTGGGGTAAAGTCAGAATTTCATTTCGTGGTTTACAAGGTCCAGCCTTTTCAGACACATTTCTTGCTATGATTCTTCCCCATTATTTATGCATCCTTGAATGTGGCATTCTTTCTTGGCCTGAGCCTTCATGCATGCTGTCTCCTCTCTTGGAACATTTTTCCCCCTCTCTATGTAAGCCCTACCTTCTTTTCATCTGGCTGATTATTTAGGTCCCAGCTCAAATACCACTTTCTCAGACAGACTTTTCCTAATTCTTGATCTATTTTAGGCTCTCCTTACATATGCTCCCATAGTACCCAATATTTCCCATATGTTGGATTGTATTGTAATGGCTTGTTTTCTTGCCTGTATCCTTTACAAAATTGAAAGCTTAGAAAGGGTATCTCGTTTTTGTTTTTGACATTTGGCATGGTGATGGCACAGAGTAAATGCTCAATAAATATTTCTTGAATATATGAATGATAAAGTTTGATGACAAATGAGTGGAGAAGAGTCACTGTGGTTGAATATTTTGTGCAGCATTATCTATTTCTTATAAGTATAGATCTATATATTGTTTTGCGGCCAGTGAGATTTGTATTGTGGACACCTGTATTTCTTAACAGGGTGTTGGAACTGATGAGTTTACTCTGAACCGAATAATGGTTTCCAGATCAGAAATTGACCTTTTGGACATTCGAGCAGAGTTTAAGAAGCATTATGGGTATTCCCTATATTCAGCAATTAAAGTAAGTCTCCCCTTGAAAGTAGTAAAACACATATTGCCTTTTTCTACTCATCTTCTTTCCTGTATACTCTGTAAACATAGAGATATGTGACTCAGTTTTCTTACTCCCTGTCAATGCATGAATGTGTTTTCCGAGTTTAAAATAGTGATAGCATAGGAGGACCTGGGTGGCTCAGTTGGTTGAGTGTCCGACTTCGGCTCAGGTCATGATCTCATGGCTTGTGAGTTCAAGCCCCGCATGGGGCTCTGTGCTGACAGCCCTGAGCCTGGAGCCTGCTCCAGATTCTGTGTCTCCCTCTCTCTGCCCCTCCCCCACTCACGGTCTGTCTCTCTCTCTCTCAAAAATGAATAAATGTTAAATGAGCACTGGGTGTTGTATGTAAGTGATGAACCACAGGAATCTACCCCCAAAACCAAAAGCACACTGTACACACTATGTTAGCCAACTTGACAACAAATTATATTAAAAAAAATAAAAATAAATAAAGTTTACAACTTGAGGAATTGAAAAAAAAATTTTTAATAGTGATGGCATAAATAAACAAATGAGTGAACAAATAAATAAATATATAAATAATAGTGATAACAAAATGTCTCCCAAAGATAGTGATTATTTTTCAGCTCCAAAATCCCAGGCACATAACAGACACTCAACATTTTCTTTTAGGTTTAGTGGCCATTAATTGTTCTTCTTCTTTGGATTATATATGCAAATCAGTTACCTATATTTTATATTGTATTCTTATTTATTTATAGTCTTATTTATTTCAATTTTTCTTTATGACAATAGAAGGATATAAAAATACATGTTTTAAAGTTCCTATTTTTAATGGAAGTATAGTTGGCATACAATGTCCCATTAGTTTCAGGTGTGTGGCATAGTTAAATCTCCTCTTGTTTTACTCAAAATATAGAGAGCATGGTTTTGCACTGTGGAACTCTTTTCATTTCAGTTTATAGGAAGTTTTCTCATTCTTTTTAACAGCTGCACATCATTCCATTGCTTATGTATTTGCACCCACCATATCAATAGATGTTTCCAGTTTTTTGCTGTTACAAACAATTGAATGATGTTGTGCTATGCATGCCCAATTTCATGAGGTGCAAATGTATCTAAGGGATACAGTCCCATACGCCAGTAGCATTGCTGAGGCAGATGTAAATACATTCGTAATCTTGGTAAATGTTACCAGTGCACTTCCCTTTGCACATCATGTAGTCAACTCGATTCATTCACCAAAACGAATCCTATTTTTCTTTCAGCCAGAGCTTTTGTTTTTACACTAAACCTTTGCAGAAGGTGCTGTATGCTGAAGTGGAAATTGAGGAACTTATTCAACAAGGCACCTCTCAGACTGTGCCTGGGGCTTAGCACAGATTTCATCAGTTCACACTCAATGCAATTTGAATCGATTCTGACACATCACAATAGTTTCAATCAACACAGGAAGATTTAATAATGTTAACCATATTGTACTTACTAAGGCAGAAAAGTAGACTCATACATTTTATAAAGATTGCCAGTAACAAGGTTGAAACAGAAAGAAGGCCTTCAGTTCACCCTCAGCAAACTGGGAAATTAAATTAACCATTAGTTCTCCCTCCCACAATAGTCTGGCTAATTGAGGCTTATTATATTAGGAAATATCTAAACTATGCCTGCCTTGATAGAAAAGAAAAATCCCTGACTAAAGAATTCAGTTTGTAATTTAAAATTACATAAGTTTCTTCATTTCTATCACCTAAGGTACATTTTTTAAAATGAAATGTTGGGTTGGATCAGGGAAAAAAATAGAGAGCTTAATTAAACTATTTCAATAATCAATAAGTATAAAACAAATTACAAAGGAGACCAAAGACCTACCTCCCCCAAAATCCCAGGCTCAGATAGACTCACAGGTGAACTTCACCAAACTTTCAAAGAACAAATCTTATACAAGTTGTACCAGAAAACAGGAAAAGTGAAAGCTGCCTAATTCATTTTATGAATTTAGTATAATCTTGATTCCAAAGATATAGGATAAAGAAAATTACAAATTCATGTCGCTTATGAACATAGATAGCAAAGAGTAAAATATTGACTGAATGTATCAGTTTAATTTTTTTTTTTAACGTTTGTTTATTATTGAAAGAGAGAGTCAGAGCGTGAGCAGGGGAGGGGCAGAAAGAGGGGGAGACATAGAATCTGAAGCAGGCTGCAGGCTCTGAGCTGTCAGCACAGAGCCCGACGCGGGGCTTGAACTCACAAACTGCAAGATCATGACCTGACCTGAAGTGGGACGCTTAACCAACTGAGCCACCCAGGCTCCCCCGAATGTATCAGTTTATCAAAAAAAAAAAAAAACCGCATCAAAATCAAGTGAGGTTTAATCCAGGAATGAAAGAATGGCTCAACATCAGAAAATTAATATGATTGCCCACATTGCACACATATAAAAGATAATTATATAATTATTTCAATATTTTCAGAAAAAGCTTTTGAAAAGGGCCAATACCTATTTATGATAAAAACATTTACCAAATTAAGAATAGAAGCAAACCTCCTTAAATTGATAAAGCTTACATACCAACATATTATAACAAATACATATTTATACTCGGTGGAGAAACTTTAGATGCAATTCCTTTAAGATAAGGATCAGAACAATAATATTCCCTACATACTAATACATACCATGCTACTCCTATCATTAATATACCTTAATGCTATCTTACAGAGGACTAGGGGTCCTGGACAGTATTGGAAAGGAAGAAAAAAATACGTGTAAAGATTCAAAGGGAAGTGTTGAAGCTTCCATTATTTTCAGTAGATACAATCATCTTTCTAGAAAAAATCAACAGGAATTATAAATTATTATCAGTAATAAAAATTCCACAGTGTTGCCAGTTAAAGATCAACCTGTAAAAATTAATAGTCCTTCTTAGACTATATAATCAGAATTAAGCTACCATTCATAATAGAAACAAAAACTATATAACTCTATGGAGAAAACTTTAAGACTGTTCTAAAGAGCATAAAATATGTCAGTAAATGGAGAGCTGGTTCATATCACTTGAGTAATATGATAGGATATTGTAAAGATGTCAGTAATTCCTCAAAGTAAGCCATATAAATCAAATGCAATTTCAATCAATATTCCAGCTAGATTTCTTTGAGGAACTTGGTTAACTTACTCTAATATTTATGTGAAGGAATAAAGATTCATGATTAATCAACCTTGAATAAGAGTAAAGGGGCACCTGGGTGACTCAGTCAGTTAAGCATCCCACTTTGGCCCAGGTCATGATCTCACAGTTCATGGGTTCAAGCCCCACGTTGGGCTCTACGCTGATAGCTGAGAGCCTGGAACCTGCTTCTGATTCTGTGTTTCCCTCTGTCTCTCTGCTCCTCCCCTGCTTGTGTTCTCTCTCGCAAAAATAAATAAATAAACTTAAAAAAAAATAAGAGTAAAGATAGGGAAAGGGCTAGTCCTATTAGAGACTGACATGGTACAAAGCCATTATTGTTTTAAGTGTAGTTTTGGAGTAAGAACAGACAAATTAAGCAATGGAACAGAATGGAGACCTTAGAGACAAATTCAATTGTTTGTGGAAACTCATAGGATAGAGGGAACACCATAAATCAGTAGGGAAGGGACAGATAATTTAGTAAAAATGTATTGGGAAATCTGGTCGATTCTACAGTGAAAAATAAAACTGGATCCTGCCCAACCCCGTATCATTGGTAAACTGCAGATGAACTAAAAACCCAAAGATAAAAGATAAAATTAGAAAGTTAATCCAAGAAAATACAAGAGTTACCTTTGTGACTCAAGAGCAAGGAAAGAATTTTTAAATAAAACTTCAGAAGCACAAATCACATTGCAAAAATGACAAACAAAAGAAAATGTGTTATTAAGTATACTATTAAGTATAACATTATTTACTATTAAGTAATCTCATTACATTTTCAATACTGACACATAGGATTTTTTTGATGTTTAAATTTCTATAATTCAAGAGCTAGAGTTCCATTTTGCATATCACCCGACTTTTGGTTCTGCCTCCTCTTCCTTCTGCCTATAGTTTGGACATTTTTCTGCTCATTTTTCTTGCTCACTACACCTTTCTGGTGTTGGTGATTGGTGGGGGAGAGGAGGAGAGAGAGAGAGAGTAGGAAACACAAATGTGTCCCTCTCATTACTTAGTAGTAAGACATTAATACAAAATTTGGATAAAATTACATTAATAAGATGTCACTGAGCAACAAACTAAGTAGCTATTTAATAAATAGTACAATTCCAAGGTCTTTAATGGAAATCATAGTAGCCATCCTCAACGCATAGTCTATGTGGAGATTTGAGGTGAACATAAGTAAGATAATTAGAAGAATATACTATGAAACAACATACAATTAAATTAAATACTGTGGTACAGAGGAGAGCAACACGGGAATTCAGAGTAAAGGAGTTTGGGGTTAGATAGGGAATGTTTCTTGGGGAAATGGGTCTTGAGCCTACCTTTGAGGTTTAATAAGCTTGTGTTGAGTGCCTCCTGTGGGCCAGGTGCTATGCTGCTCAACAGGGATTCAGGTGAATGCTCTAGAAATGTATGTATGGTTAGGAGTAGGAGGGACAGAAGCAGTAAGGCACTTGATTGATGAGGGGATCTACCTTGGGGAATACTGAAAAACAAAATCCAACTGGCAAGATGAATTCAGACAAAAGAGAGTTTTGAGGTCACAGAATTTGTATTTCATTCATCCACTAGAGATATTTACTAAATGCATATTATGTACCTGGTTCAGAGTTACAATTACAAGCAAAGAAAAAAAAAGTTTCCCCGTCCTTATGGAATTACAAATAAATGTAAAGTTACAACTATGTTAAATGTAAAGGAAAGAGATACAGTGCTGTCAGACCATAGGCTAGGGATAGGAAAAGCTTCCAGGAAGAAGTTATGATTGAGTTCTAAAAATGAGTAGACAAAGGTTGTGGGGTTGGAGAATCAGTAAAGCATTTCAACAAAAGGAAAAGGAATTACAAGGGGAAAGACCTCATGGTAAAGAAACATAATGAGAAATAAGGCTGAAGGGACCAGATCACCCAGGACCATTTGTCAACCTTTGAAGATTTTGTCTTGAGCCCAAGAACCTTGAAGAGTTTTCCACTTAAGTGCATAGTGTCATGATCAGAAGTACATTTTGAAAAGATGCCTGTGATCACAGACGATGCATTGGAGAGAAGAAGGAAGAGATTTGGGAGTGTTGAGTTCTTTTATTAGTCATATTGGAGCTGCTACAACTGGGGATTGCGAAGTAATAATGCAAAGAGATCAAAGAGCAAAGGTTCAAAAGATATTTAGGAATTAAAACTTAGGGGACTTGTTGTGTTACCTTGGTAGAAGGAACAACAAAGAAAAGATGTCAAGGATGACTTCCAGGTTTCTAACTTGGGAACAGATAGTGATGCCATTCCCTGCACGAAGGTCAGGCTTTAGGTGTGTTTGTTTGTTTGTTTGTTTTTGTTTTTTTACTTTTCTTTTTTGGGAATGGGGGAGAAGCTCATGAGTTTGGTTTTACACGTGTTGAGTCAGAGATGTCTTCGAAACATGGAAGTGGAATTGTCATGTCAGGAGCTAGTGGTATGAGATACATTTTCAGAGTCAGTTATGTTACTGAATAGCTGGACGTGAATGAAAATCCTCTAAGGAGAAAATATAGGTAAGAGTATAGAACAGAAGAAATATAAAAGAGAAAAAAGCTGAGAATTGAGAACAGTAAGAATTAACAGTGGGAGAATACAGTTGATGAATCTAGAGCCAAGGAAACTGGTGACAAGAGATGGGAGCCTAAAGCAGATTTGTCACGGTCGGAATGGAGAAAGGAATAACGTAAAAACCACTGCAAAGAAATAATTGGCAGGATGGATGAAATGTAGAGAATAAAAGATGGGATCAAAGTTGGGAGAAGAAGGAATCGGTGGTACCACTGTTAAAATGCACCAACACAGACATTTGACTTCTTAAGAGCAATTAATATGGCCTAAGTAGGAAGACATACATTATGTTCAAAGGCTTTGAAAATACATGAACTTTTTTGTGGTTGTAAAATTTCTAGAATAGCCATTTTACTAGAAGGCATAAAGGTATAGAGGTAGAAGAAAGGATGAACATTTGTTTAGTACTGAGAATGGATCTGCATTTTATGTTAAGCTACTTGGACGTATTTTCTTTTTCTTAAAAATTTTTTTAATGTTTATTTATTTTTGAGACAGAGAGAGAGAGTCAGAGACAGAGTGCGAGCAGGGGAGGGGCAGAGAGGGAGGGAGACACCGAATCTGAAGCAGGCTCCAGGCCCTGAGCTGTCAGCACAGAGCCCGACGCGGGGCCCAAACCCATGAACTGTAAGACCATGACCTGAGCCGATGTCAGACACTTACCCGTCTGAGCCACCGAGGCACCTCTAACTACTTGGATGTATTTTCTTGTCTAACTGATAGAACCGCTAATAATTGTTTACAACTTGGTTGGAGAGGGTAAAGGGAGCTGTTTTAATACCCAGTGAGAGCACTGTTGGTTTATCTGCAGTTCCAGAGATTATTACATCTGGCAGAGCAAAACTTGGAAAGCCCAACAGAGGAAGAGCTACAGTCTATATAAAATAAGAGAATGTATATTAACGCCTATTGTGTCTCATTGTGAAAGCAACACATAACCTCTAAATAACCTTTCTTCATTGTGTCTTTTGCATTACTGCTTACTCTAATATTTATCCTGGTGTGAAACTTGAGGGTAAGAAGTGCTCGCTGTTTGAGTTGCCTTGAATAAAATGAGAATAATGTGAGGATTTTAAACAGTCTAGATTAAAAGCCAAGTTTTACCTCCAATGCTATGCAAATGTTTTACCTGTTTTGCCTAGCAAACATGGCATCTTTGTACACAAGCCTGAATCTCACATGTTGTCTGTCTAAACAAAGATCTTTTTCGGCTAGCCTAGGGGAAAGGAACTGAGAAGCATGCACTTTGGGAATGTCAGGCAATGTAGTATGGTGTTAAGGGGCCAGGCCCTACCTGTTCATTAGTCTCTATATGATTTCCTAACCTCTGTTTTTCTCATTTTATCTGTCTATTAAATGGACATACTTAGGCTACCTACTGCATAGAGCCATAAGGGTTATAAGGTTAAAGTAGTTAACCCTTCCAAGAGCAAGTGTTTGATGAATATTAATATGTTATTAAGATTATCATTTTAAAGTTTTGTTAGAAACGTAATATTATGTAATATTACATAATTGATGCAATCTTATTTTTCAAATCCAAATTGAAATTTAACTGCCATGAATCAGGAAGAATTTAAACATTATATATTGTAAAGAAGATGCTAGGCTGGAACATAATCACACTCAGGTATGAATGAATAACAGAATTACAGATGCATTTCACAAAATGGGACAAGTCGTGAGTCTCACCCCACTGAATCACCCAGGACTGTGGGATTTCATTCGTTTTGGTCCCCTCATTATTTATGCTATATCTGTCCTTCTCTCCATCGGTCCTGTTCCTTACAGTCAGATACTTCTGGAAACTATGAAATCACGCTCTTGAAGATCTGTGGAAGAGATGACTGAGTGAAGAACGCAATCTCCGAAGGCCGCTGCTCCCACAACGGGCCTTTCCAACAGCTCTGCTTACTCCTTTCTCAGAGTTTTGAAAACCCCAAGCAAGCATAAACAGCAACCTGTTTTCCTAACAGACACTTCCATCGTTCCATAATAATGACAAAAAGTGATTCTAGTAGAGCATCTCAGCATCATGTAGGAATTCATAAATGAAATTTTTAAGTAGTATTAAGGATCTACTAATACAACATAAATTATATTTCAGCTTAGGAAGTGAGAACCTTTGCAGAATTCTAACACATTGAATGTGTAAGCAGCATTAATAAAAGCTGTTGCCTTTGTTAAAGGTAATTTGTCTGTTTTTTAGCCCGTACCAACATTGTCTTGCTGGTCGCTAACAATTAATGATATTTTAAAACGCATTTTTGTTATAAAAGCTATTGCTGCTTTGCTTTATGTATTACCTTCTTAATCGCATTTAGCTTTAAGAAAGGAATAAAATGAATGTAATCCTGGCCTGCTCTTTCTAGTTGTGATCAAGCTATAGGAGTGGCAGTGCATGATAAGTTATTTCAGCCCCCAGAAAACATCTGCTGAACTATTAATCTAACCACTTCCTGTCAAAATGGCAAGCATGAATTGTGGTTGTTTGATGCTAAATACTACTTTCCCAGAATGGCTATGTAGAATCAATTCTTTAAACTTTCTTTTCCTCTAAAATAAGTTGGCAAAACTATGCATTTAAAGAAAATCCTTCATGTTATCTTTGAAAGGGACCTAATATCAAATACCTTGACTAATATGAAATATATGAGGTAAAACTTTCCAGTTGGAGTTACCAGTCTGGACTTGAATAGAAATGATAAATGTATGAGAACTAAAAATAGGGATGTGTGAATCCAGAGCTTTTAATCAATGCATTCCACTGGCAAACATTCTGAGAACTTTCAGAAGGAGAGCAAATTATTTCTTGTTCTGGGATTTCCCGACTGCATACAGGAAAAAAAGCACAAAGATTTAGAGTCAGGCACACCTGCCAGTTTTGACTTCCTGCCCTACCGCTTACTAGTTCTGTGACCCTGAAAACTTCTAAACCCTGCTAAACCGAAGTTTTCTCATCTGTAAAATGGTGATAATTATAGCACCTACCTTTCTCATAGGGTGTTTAAAAGATTAAGAAAGATAATGCCTTTGAAGCACTTAGCCCTATGGTTAAGTGCTCAATTACCAAGTTATTATTATTATTACCAAGCAACATCAAAACGACCATGACAGCATTGCAGCGTTCTTCAACAGACTTCGGTTTATCTACCACGTGCCAAGCTCTGTGCTAAGTAGGTATTGGATGCACCAAGGGGACTGAGACTCATTTCCTTTCGCCAAGGACCTTAAAATCTGTTCAGGGAGAGTGGCGAGTGCATATAATCACAACCCAAACGTACCACGTTGTATTGAGGGAAATAACATTGTGTAAGAAACGGAAGTGGTATGGAGGCTGGATCAGTAATTCAGCCTATCGAAGGTTACAAACTCCGCCAGTAAAGAAGAAGGAGAGAGGCTCTCCAGATAGCTGAGAGCACTTGCAAAGTCACAGAGTTATGAAGTAGCACAGTCTGTGCACAGCGCTACCCAAAGGTTATGTATGGAGGCTTAAAAAACAAGGTGGGGGTATGATGAAAGGTGATAGGCAGGGGCCAGATCACAACCGTCTCATGCTAAAGAGTCTCAAGTAAGGGAGAGTCATGGATGGAAGGAGCATTCCAGGAAGATTTCAATCGGGGAAATGATGTCAAATTTTTGCTCAAGGGAGAAGGATGTTTGGGAGAAGAAAGCTAGAGGCAGGAGCTCCCTTGGCAAGTTCTCTAATCAAGTCTCGAAGTATCAGCCTGAGCTAAGATAATGGCAAGGGAGGACAAAAACCCATGAACACACTTAAGAAATGTTTAAAAGATAAAACTAATAGAATATGGTAATCAAGGTAGTTAGGTGTCAAGTTTGCTCCATGATTTTGGCTTGATTTAGTGAATGAGTGTCTCACCAAGCAGTAAATCATTACTAATACTCATTGAGTACTTACTATGTATCAGGCACTATGTTAAACAGTTTTGTATATGTCAAATCATTAATCCTGAAGGAACTTTACAATGTAGACACTAAATCACGGATACAGGAATGGAACCTTAGAGAAATTAAGGAGCTTGACCATTGGAAGAGCCAGGATTTAAATCCAGCAGTCAACTCCAGTGTCCAGGCTCTTAGCCACTATTTGCCTTAGAATTTATCCTGCCTTGGGATCACTGTTCCTTTCAACCCTGCAATGTAAGTTATTTGAATGCAGGGATTTTTGTCTGTTACATTCACTGCAATATTCCTAATTCTTAGAACATGCTTGGCACATAAAAGGCACATGATAAATCTTTATTGGGTGAATGAAGTTCTTTTTCCTCTACGCCTTTGACCTATATAAGTGAATTTAGGGCAGTTTTTTAAACATTTGTAGGTATACCTGAATCTCCGCTTCCCAGGCTTGGGAAAAGAAACTAACATCACTACACTAAAGGTAGACTTGGAGAAAAGTTCAGAAATTTTACCCATATGCAGAGCACTTCTTCCACACTACCCATCACTGTAGAAAGGAATATATTATGAAGCTGGCCAGGGTATTGGGACTTCTGGAGAAGCAACAAGTTCAAACACCTGTAGGCTCTCCTTTACTTAACATCAAGCTAAATTCCTGAAATGGCGTTACAAGATTTTAATCTTGGTCACATTCTCCAAACTCATGGAGAAGTAATTCCTACCCCCTTTGGATTTTGATACTAACTGTTCCCTTTTCCTCTGGAAAAATGGTTTGCTTCACTAGCACTGTCCCACATACATTTTCCTTCCTTCTTTCCTTCCTTCCTTCCTCCTTCCTTCTCTGTTTCCTTTGTCCTTCTCTCCCATTCATTCTTCTCTCTCTTTATTCATCTCTGTAATGTAATAAGCATTTTGGAAAGCACTCTCCAACATGAATACTAGGACCTTAAACTACTACCAACCACATGACCTTCCTCTCCCATCCTCCCTCCATCTCCCCACCTGACCTAACTTTCATTTCGAATTACATGTTCATTGTCCCCTTGCTTTCTTTTTATGTCATTTTTCATTCAATTTGTTTTTCTTTACTAATTAAGCTTCTGGGACTTTTTTTCATTTAATATTATTTTGTAAAGTGATATCTATATCATTGCATGTCATGTATTTTATTTATGTTGACTGTCACGTATCATTCCACTGTGTAAAGTCATCATTCTAGGAGGCCACAAAGTTGCCCTCAAGGAAGTAGGGAAAGCATAATTTCATCTGGCTCCCTACCCCTTGTGCTTAAGAAAAAAAAAAAATTAACATTCATTTATATTTGAGAGACAGAGTATAAGTGGAGGAGGGGCAGAGAGAGAGAGGGAGACACAGAATTCAAAGCAGGCTCCAGGCTCTGGGTTGTCAACACAGAGCCCGACTCAGGGCTTGAACCCACAAACTATGAGATCATGACCTGAGCTGAAGTCTGACGCTTAAGCGACTAAGCTACCCAGGTGCACCATCCTCCCCTCCCTGCCCCAGGCTTCTTTGAAGCTATAGTGCCTCACTATGGCCACAGAGGTAGCTTTCATCTCCAGTCATGACACTAGGAACAACCTGGATTCTTCTCTTTAATGGGTGCCGATCACCAATTTCCAACGTTGGGCAGGGGTTCCAACAAGCAATGCTCCACCACCAGCTGGATGTCATACAATTCAACTCAGTTCTATCAGCATCTACCTGGATTTAGCATTAGGTCTCATAGGTTAAGGGCTCAGTCCCACAAGACTGCCCCCTGCCAACTTCAGATGCCAATCACAAGTCCAAGTTGTCATCTGTGCTTCTGACCCCACTGCCTATATGGATTGGAGGTTCCTTGGGTGTGATTAATTTGCTAGACAGGCTCCCCGAACTCAGGGAAATATTTGTTTACACTTACCAGCTTATTACAAAGGCATATAATAAAGGATGCAGATGAACTCTAAATGGAAGAGATGCATAGGGCAAGGTGTGTGGGAAGGGGCGAGGAGCTTCCCTGCCCCCTCCTGGGGCACCTGTCTCCCAGCACCATCACGTGTTCACCAACCTGGAAGCTCCCTGAGCTCCATACAGTTGGGATATTTATGGAGACTTCATCACACAGGAATGGTCAATCATTAATTCCGTTTTCAGCCTTTCTCCCTTCTCAAGAGAGTGGGAGGCAGGGGTGAACATTTTCAGCTTCTAATCACAGTTTGGTCTTTCTGGTGACCAGCCCTCATCCAGGAACCATCTGGAACCCTTCCAGAGTCTCCTCCTCATTAGCAAAGACCAAATATTAAAGTAAAAGACTTATCACTTATTGATAAGTCAATAAGTGATAAGAGTAAATAAAAGTCAATAAGAGTAAAAGTACTCTTATCACTTAGGAAATTACAAGGGTTTTAAGAGCTCTGTGCCAGGAGCCAGAGATAAAGACCAATATATATTTTTTCTATTATCTCATACTCTTCCTTTCCCAGGGATTGACTGCATACTCCGTTACGACAAAGGACAACCACGAACCCATTGTAAATGCCAGTGTGTGTTCTATATCTCCAAATCCCTAGCCCAGTTCCCTATTCATAGTTGGTACATAATAAATTTTAATGACAATGATTTGTAAAGTGGGGTAATAGACCTTTTCTGCCAGTTGTATCAGATTGTTGTAAGGAGCGCAGGAAAAAATGATTACAGCTACCTTCTAAAGTATTGAATGTTACTCAAATGTAACAAAGAATTGTAGAGTTTATAGTAGCATAATCAATTTTTGTTGTGTATATGAGTCAAGAACTTACTATGTGCCAGTACTATGCTAGATATTTTAGATCTCATTTATTCTCAGAGTTGTAATGTTATTTATCTACCTTAAGTACTTTATGGAACTAAGCATGGTTATACATATCAGTGTTATCCCCATTTTACAGATG